GTAATAAAAAGTGAAAACATGTTAATTTTTTTTCTACATTAACAGATTTTTTAGACAGCTTTGCTGTGACGACACTCCCATGGTTCGTAGGGCGGCTGCCAGCAAGCTCGGTGAATTTGCAACTGCCTTGGAGGCAGAGTTTGTCAAGTCAGAGATTATTCAACTTTGGTCTCAATTCTTGTCCGATGACCAAGATTCAGTTCGATTACTCGCTGTCGAGGCGTCAATTGCCATTGCTGGCCTGCTTAGCTCGGAAGATATCGAAGCACACATGATTAGCTGCTTGAAGCAAGCTGCCGAAGATAAGTCTTGGCGAGTTCGCTACATGGTCGCTGATAAGTTCACCGAGATTCAAAACGTCGTCGGTGCAGAAATCACCAAAAGCGAACTTGTGACTTCCTTCCAAAACTTACTTAAAGATCCTGAAGCCGAGGTTCGAGCAGCTGCGGCACAAAAAGTTCGTGATTTCTCTCAGAACTTGCCCACCGAAGATAGGGAGCAAATTATTATGACTCACATTTTGCCATGCATCAAGGAGCTGGTCGTCGATCCTAACCAACATGTCAAAACTGCTCTGGCCGGAGTCATTATGGGCCTCTCGCCAATTGTGGGCGAGCAAAACACCATCGATCAGCTGTTGCCCATCTTTTTGTCGATGCTTAAAGACGAGTGCCCCGAGGTTCGCCTGAATGTCATCTCGAAGTTGGACTGCGTCAACGAAGTGATTGGCGTTCAGCAGCTCAGTCAGTCGCTACTGCCTGCTATTGTGGAGCTCGCCGAAGACAGCAAATGGCGAGTTCGCCTAGCTATCATTCAGTACATGCCCCTGCTTGCTGGCCAACTTGGTGTGGAATTTTTCGAAGAGAAGCTAAACACTCTCTGCATGGCATGGCTTCTTGACCAAGGTATGCTTGAATGAGTTTTCAATTCACTGCTAACATTGTTTTTTAAAGTTTTTGCCATTCGAGAGGCAGCAACTCTAAACTTGAAGAAACTTGTGGAGAAGTTTGGCGCCGAGTGGGCCCAAAACACAGTGATTCCTAAAATCAATCAAATGGCATCTGATCCCAACTACCTCCACCGAATGACTTTCCTTTTCTGCATCAACGTTCTATCTAACGCTTGTGGCGCTGATATCACCACTGTAAGTGTGAAAAAAA